CGTGGCTTTAAGTCGCACAGGGGAGACGTCTGTAACTGTTGTTTCTTCTGCACATTCTGCTGAATGATGCTGTTTGACACCAGAACACACTCTCTGGGTTCATTGCAAGTTTCTTTGAACTCACCTAATATCTGACATCATGACTATTTTGGAAACCAAACCTCATCAAACAGCAAAAACGTATAAAGGCTGCAAAGCAAACAAGAGCATTTATAAGCTTTAAACTAGGTGAATTTTTACATTTCTTTGTTGGGTTATAGATGCATGTTTTTACAGCAATCATGTTTTTACTCCATCAGCCTTAATCAATTTTAATTCTTCATATAAGAAACGAGCATGTTGTGGGATCAGGATCTGCCAAGTGTGGCAAGAGGGTTTTTTGAACGCAGCCTCAGGTCCCACAAGCTCCATATGCCAAGAAATCATCAAGAGCTGTTTCTTATTAGTTTGTTCCTATTTGTATTTTTCAAAAAGCTCTAGACCCATTAGCAGTGAAACTGTTTGGAGCTCGAGGGGGAAATGAATGATCATAACATTGTTATGTTCAGATGCAATATCAGAGCAAATAAACAGAAAAGCAGAAAACCAACTGCGGTGGAGATTTGATTTATTATGACTGGTGCTTGACTTAAATGGGTTTTCAATTTGTAATGATTTGGAAAAGCTGTAAATGTGAGCCTCAACAAGAGCTCACGGGGAACTTAACACGTCACTGGAGAGGAAATATGATGCAGTTTGCTTCCAGTTTGTTTGTTTTTTTTATGACAAAGGAAAAGAAAGCATCAAACCAGATGCCTTCATGTGAACAGACAGAAAATGATGAACCTGTCATAAAAGTGACAGCCTTGGTAAATCGTTACTTGGAGCAAGCCAACTGACATGTGATATCCTAATTACATTTCCTTTATTAGTTTTAATGTGAATTTATGGCAACCACACACTGATTTTGTCCTCCAGCTTTTCACTGTAATGCACACTTGAAGAAAACAAAGATTAATGAGTTTAAAAAGCTCAATTAATTCAATTAAATGTCCTCTATAATTTTGTGTGGTAGGTTGTTTATGCAGTGTTCTCTGCGAGTTCAAAGGTTTTTATAACCCACAAAATTGTTACCTGATGGCCTGCAGGTGTGTTTACTGATGAAGTAATTTGTTACAAAAGCCTGATGTACAACAAAAAAATCGAACTGCAGTTCTCTCCACAGATGTTTGTAACCGCACGTCAAATATTATAGGTATGTTGATATGTTTTACTACTCTCATACTTTACTTCAAAACCTTTATAATGAGGATACATCTGAACAGATAAACTGAACATTATTACATTGTTTATGTGGTTTTAGTTTCTATTAGCATTGAATAACTAATTACTGTTATATAGTCAAAGATTAGAGTAGTGACGAGATGGGGCAGGATGTTGGCCTGACAACATGCTATTGTACTTTACCTATAACAGGACTCTACGTGAACGTGCTTGGCATCAAAGTGGCAAGCCTCCTGCACAAACCTCACAAAACCTTCTCCAAGCGCTGTGACTGGCGGTAACAGCAAATGTTTTTATCTCCTCCTATCAGCTGAGTGATCTGATTTCACGCTGCAGACTGCACGGCTCTGCCAAAAGCTGGAAGCAGCATCATGCTTGTTTTATGCCTAAGCGTGAAAGCGGTTTGTTGTTGGCTGGAGGCAGACAGATGCAACTCTTATTTGTGCTACTGCTGGTCGTCAGCCGGCCGAGGAGAGAGAGAGGAAGTCTCCTTTTCCTGGTGAACTCTGCTATTCCTCCTTTCGTGTTGACACATGGGTCATCCACATCCATTTATTAAGTCTTCGCCGGGCCAATTCTGTCCCCCGGGCCTTATCTTTGACACCCTTACCTGCACTACACAGATGGCCACGTTTGCAGGACCATAAATTACACTCACAGAGGGAGTCTCTGAGACAATGCAGGTGTGCAGGTTGTCATCTAACTGCTCACAGTGCCCCCTGCATCCCGTCATCAACGAACCATGTCTTGTTCCGTAAACAGAGTTTTGATGATTAACACAGTACACTTAGCATAGTGTTACCATAGCACTAACAAACAGTAGGCAACCAGTCATCTGGTGTATTTCGCTAGCTAAATATTGTTTATTTGAAATAGCAGCTGTAGGAAATGTTGGCTTTGCATGAGCAGGAACGTGTATTGATTCTAGTAGCAATCACAGACATCCAGTTCACAAAAGTCTTAATAAATACGAGTCACCTCAGTCATGCTCAGTCACCATTGTGTTACCTTTTTGTTGGGAGAGACCTATTAAGTAAACACTGTTAGATTACCTCCAAATGTTTGGTAGCTTTATCCCTGACTCCTGCACATACTGAACCGTCCTCATGCCAAACACGGAACTCCAAGTTGAGCACTTTGTTGTGTTGCTCAGTTTAAAGTGAGGCTTGTTTACCATTTCAAAGGGTTAATTATTGTAAAGGTTGCTATGGGGATAAATGACACTTTCCTTGCTTTTGTTAAAAAAAGGCGGTATGCAAATGTTGCCTGACCTACCACATCCATACAGCAGTTGAGCTCAGGAATGGACTCGGTTTACCTAAATGACTTCTAAGTGTAACCTTGCTGCCCCCCTCCAGCTCCCCTTCCTTCCGACCACACTTTATATATATGGTACGTACGGGTTTATGAGGTCTGATGTTTGGCCGACCTCATCCCTCCTCCTTCCCCTAAACCATGTTTTATGGGAAGTGAGAAGGCACCTCGGTTTACTGTTTCAAGCTCTTATTTCAAAGCAGAAAATCAAATGTTGGTCTGTCGTACTGAACGGCTGATGACCGACCCAGCCTGTTTTTTATCAGCAGCTCACTTTTATTTTCAATGAACCTAATGAAACAAGAAAAGGAGATGAGAGGAAAGGATTGGAGAGATAAGAAGAAAGGTGATTGAAAGGGAATGCAGTAAAGAAGAAACATGGGGAAGGGAAAAGAAACAGCATGTGATTTATTGTGTTCGAGCTTCAGGGGAGCCTGGGATTTATTACAGACTGTATGTAATCTGGCCCCATTTCTAAAACATATATATGCATAAGGTTCATCTGCTGGAGAAGTCAGGCGTGCACGTCAAAATGAAATAGTCTTCATTTATCCGTTTCAAATGTTATGTGGAAGCTGAAAAGTGGATTAAGACAGGAAAAAATGAATCACAGCCCAATTTCTTAAAAGAGTTTGGACATCGTAAAATGTAAAAAAAAAAAAAGAAAGAAGAAAAATTACAATTTCCAAATCACTGGAAGCCTGTGTTGAACTGAGAATACTAACAGTAAATACTTGTTGTTATAAGTAATGTTTAAGGATGTATATTGTTTTATAACTAACAGTGGCACATATTGATTTTGTATATTGTGATTTATAAAACATAAATCCACAGTTATGATTTCATAATGACTGATTCGAGAGGACGGTGTCATTCTGAAGGTGTCATTTAAGATAAGCATGTTTTAGTTTCACCGTTCATTTTCACTGTTGGATACAATGTAAATCACAATGAGGCACATTTGAATCCGAATGCAATTTTTCATAAACCAAACTCAAACTAACAAAACAGCAAATGAGCATGAAACGAGAAAAACACGTGAAATGTGATTGTAGCCCAGTACAGGATAGGGTAGGGGAAATTAAAGTAAGATGGAGAGAATGGGCCAATAGCTAGATTCGTAGGAGGGATAGTGAGTTGCGTGGAGAAGAATGACTGGAGCCACAGGTAAAGTTGCTATGAATTGTATTAAACTATTTAGCAACAATTTAACAGCATTTCATGAACAGGAATGAAAACATAAAATAAAATACAGTGACAGCAATAATACCGTAATTGTCGGGCTATAAGCCGCTACTTTTTGCACAAGCTTTGAACCCTGCGGCTTTTAGTCAGGTGCGGCTTTTCTATGGATTTTCCATGATTTTTGTGATATCGTAAGACGATTTGTTTTGTTTGTTCCGCTGTTGTACGGCACTACGTTGCCTGGCGGAAGGATCGGGGTTCAAGAGTGGTATGTTAGTCACATGTCCGTCCGCCAGGCAACATAGTGCCGTACGAAGTAGCGCGAAAAACAAACTTCAAAGTAGCGCTACGCATTCAGCGGGAGTCGTGGATGACGAGCGGCGATAAACTTGCGAAAAGCAAGTTATGCCCAACTCCACCGGTGGATTCTGACAGCGTGGAAAAGTGCGAAAACATCCACGATCACCAACGGATTTTGAAGGGCTGGACTGCTGCATGATGGAGAGGAGGACACCGCCACGGCCCTTCTGAGGGTGTTCGACTCTGATACTGACAACGAGGATTTCTTTGGTTTTGAAAGTGACAACGAAGGAGAGAAGCGGAGAGTGGATGACGAAGCCATCCTGAGCCTGTTCGTTTCCAACATTGGAGAAGAGGACTTTGGTGGTTTTAGTGCGCAGGAAGAAGAGAAAGATGGTGAATGACTGACTTTTCTTCTTGTTAAAGCCGTGTCACTGCACCTGAGCCTAAAAGGTAGTCCGAATCTATTTTCTGGTGTGCTGTAGGTTACTGTTATGTACTACATGTGCAAATATGTACCCATAACTTGTTTTTCAAAATATTAATAAAAGGGGTGTGTCTCCAAACAGCCATCTCTTTCCTGACAATTCCCTTTGTGCATATTCTCTTACATATGATGAGTCAACATTGAAACACCTGCGGCTTTTAGTCAGGTGCGGCTAATGTATGTACAAAACAGGATTTTCCCCTGATTTTAGCTTGTGCGGCTAATATTCAGGTGCGCTTTGTAGTCCGGGAAATACGGTAATAACAATCAGAATCCTATCTGAGCTCAGATATGTCAGTCTTGCCGGCTTAATAGTCAGTGTTCAGTCAAGTCAAATCCAACAGGTCAAAAGTTTGTGATTGGTGAGATTTCGTCCTACCGCACTGTTGCGATTGTTCGTGAGAGAAGAGCAACCTGCCCTTCTGGGCCAACTCGGAATGGCTGTGGTTCGGTTCAAAGGGAAAGGCTCGCCATCTTCCTCGTCAGGAAGAGATCCAGGTCTCACGATCCCATAAAAAAAACCTAGCCTGTAAACAACAGGACTATTACTAATTCAGTTCACACTCTAAAGATATACATGGCCATGTGTAAATAATGTAAGTGCTATAACAAAACAAGCACAAAACATTAATTCTAATTTCTAACTATAGTCTATACAGTGCATCTTAATCATGAATGCAATCTTTAAATCACAATCAGCTTATTCTATCATCAAGGTGCACATTTCTATCAGAAATCAGAAATAAACCATAAACTATGGTAGATTGGTTTTTTACAGTATTGCCCTTTAACTGAATTACAGGAGCATTGCTATACACTGCATAGCAATGAAGCAATATATTATTTACACTCAATGTACAAAATAAAATTATGAAAAGAATATACAAAAACCCACAGGCTGTAGTTTTACAGTATGTGGTAACGTATCAGCACAGTAAGAATACACACGGACATCTATCCAGTGCCGCTCGAGCATCAAATGTAACAAAATAAAGTAGATTCATGACCTTTAAGATCAACATTAACTTATTCCATCATCTAATTTTAGTGCATTTAATATTCAACAAGTAATACTAGAATATCATCAGCACACAAGCTGAGTGCTCAAAATGGCTGAACTCCATGAGAAACCCCGTGTGTTCTCCCACAGTGAAAACGTGGTCAGCTACAGCTGCAGCTATGAGCATTAGGCTAGTTAGCTTTCAATTAGCCTGATTCGCCCAGTCCCAGTTTAATTCACCAGCACACTTCTAATGTTCAACTCTCAGAGAGGATCTTGTTCAACTCTCAGAGAGGATCTTGTCCACTTCATCCGCTCCCGCGCAGATCTACAACATTGAAATTGGGCCATTATATTCCCTGTTAACTTCTTGTTAGCTTTTTAGCTTCAAGGTTACCTTAACAGCTTCTGACTCACCGCGATGGTTTCAAGGTCCGAAATGTTCACAATAAATCAGGTCCGTTTCTCCAAGGTCCATGCAGATCTCCGGTATGGATATTTGCTCAATTTATCAAGTTAATAGTTATTTTCCAGCAAAAAGCTTGGCGGTGAAAATCAGTGATGGTCTCGTGCACCTCCGTCTCTCTCTGTGTCTGAGCACGTGACGGTACAGAGCAGGGGAAGGCGGGGCTTGTTCCTTCCTAACCAGTAGGGGTGTTAAATATACTCTTTGGGTTTTATTCTTGTATTTATAGTATTTATCTTTTATTATTGATTTCTTTTTGATCAACTCAGTGATTAACAGAGTAATGATAAATCCCAATTAACAATAACATGTTGTAGTGCATTACTGAGTCGTGTAAACTCACTGGGTTACATGATGTATTCAGCCTCACACTTTTTAAACATTTCTGCACACGTCCTCATGATGGCTTGTATTAAAAAAAATGCATCAATAAATTTATATCAGAAGTTCAGAGTGACCAGAATGTTTAATAGGAAAGTGTAACTGTAGATTTGGATTCCATCATCCACATTATGTAATGCTTTCATTAAAACATTGAAAAAAACTCGAGAAATATCTGCTTGTAAACAAATACTGCACATCATGATTGTTAAAATCAGACATGATTTTTCACACATGATTCAGGAAAAACAAATAAAATGGACTTGACTGTTGTAAATTCTGTATATACCAACTATATTTTCCTTGATAAAAACTGTTAATATTATATATTTCTGTTGCATTTTGCACAAAATTATTGCTTCATGTTTATAAAAACAGAGAATCAGTTTTTTTTTAATGCAAACAGAAGTGAACTGACAAATAGAGGATTGTTACCGCTGTGGAATCAGCACCATTTGCTATATTTAAGATTTATTTGAGGCTAACTGTTCTTTTTTTTCCTTTACTAATAGCCTGCACACATGTCCTTGAGCAAGGCACTGAAGATTTACATTTGCTGCTGAGTCTTACTGAAGGGAAGTTCTCCTTTTCCCTTGGCAAAGTGAAAAAGAATTTGATTAATATTCATGGTCTGTTCACGTTTCACAGTGCAACAGGAAAACAGGGTGTATGTTCATATTCCAGATATTTATCATGAGCGCTCATCACTTCACGAGCAGGAAAAGGAAATGTCAAAGGAGATGTTGAAACTAGAGGAGCGGAGGGAGAGCAGTCAAGAGATGGGCAGTAAACAGCGATGCATCATACTCTGCTTATCTGGGAAATTCACCTCCAAACGAAAAAAGTAAGTCGTGAATTCTGATCCAGAAAACTGCAGAGGGCTGCAAATCCTGAACTGCTTCTGCGTCTCATTACAACAATCGACACTTGAAACCAGTAAAGATCCCACAAGGTGCCCAAAAAAAAATCTTTTTTGTTCCAGCCAGAAAACATCAGTTTGAATTTTAGCTCGGTCCAGACAGTGCTCGGTCTGGAAAACCCCCTGCTGACATGCCCTCTGAGGGCCTTCCATTCATCATCATTTACTGCCATAGATTTTACATTTTAAAAGCTAACCTGAAATTAGAGCATTGCAGATGTTTCTGACATTTAATTTCGGCAAATAAACTGTTTACTTTTTGAGTAAACCAGTGAAGATCTGCTTGAATGTGATCAGTCAAAGTACAACTAAAGCTTCCCGTCCTCTCCTCCAAATCCTGCATATTTCATAACTGAATGGAAGATGAAAAAACTACAGGATAAATCATAAAACTATGCTGCCTCACTTTTTAAACGTCAGGTGTTAGCTCTGTTGGTGATCTTTCTCTTGCTAAAGTTCTCTGAGGTTTCTGTAATCCTACAGGTTACCTGCTTGTGTTTACTGTCGACGCATCAGCACCCTGTTTAACGGGACTGTCTGGTTAGTTTGTGCAAGTTATACCTGTTCATCTGAGGCCTGGAATTTAAAGCAGGTTTTGGCTCGGTCCCTTATCACTCACATAACACACGATAAGGAGATATTGGGCTGTGTTCAGCTTGTTTCATAGCGCAGGTCTCTGGTGGTGTTCTGGTGATTTCCTGGTGAGCCAGGACCACAGAGTTCCCAGCAGATCATTTCACTTCCTTTGTCAGTGGTTTTCATGTTGCGGCTGTGCTCAGCCTTCCAGCCGTGTCTTCTATCTGCCTCTTTGGCTTTCATTAGTTTGGTCTTCACGTGTGTATGAGCAAACTTTCAGGAGCAGTGTAGTGGTATGAAGGGTTATTCAGTCACATTAATTGGTTTCTGTTCATTTTCTGTTTTGATGAGATGATAAATGAGGAAAATTCAGAGCGGTTGTGTTGCCAGACCGCAGTCTGATGTAACCCCTGCAACAATGCAGCAGTCAGGTCTGTCAGGCTGAATGAAATAAATACACAGAGACAGAGAGGCTGGTTTAGCAAAAAAAAAAGAAAAAAAGAATAAGCCTTCCTTTGTTTATGAACCTTATTTTTACACTAAAGCAGCTGCCATGCATAATCACAGTAAAAGGACTGTTCTAGTCTCCTCATAATGCATCTTATCAGCTAAAAAAGAAATAATAATAATATTTGTAAATTAAAGAAAAATAAATGCTTGATATGAATATTTATCCAGTAAGTTCCTTCATTTATTTGAATTCCTGAACAGAAATGATCCTTGGTGGATGAATGTTATGCTTCATTGCTTTTCAGAGAACTCCAGTTTACAGGCTCAAAACGGTTACTTTTACTTTTGAAGTTCACAACAGATTTCGAAAATATTTGTGTTTTCCTGTTTTCATAACAGACGGTCTAATACATTTATTCTATTCAGTGCAAAAGTAAGGAGCAGTCAGTGTAAGTCAGTCTGTGAGCCAGCTGCTCAAACTGCTCTGAACACCTTCACACACCTGATCGCCTCGGCTGTGCACTGAGGCACTGCACAAGCGTGTCATTAAAAAAAGCTTATTTTTAACTGTGAATCCTGGAAAGCTGCTCTGTATGGAATACAAAGCATGCAGCTTCCCTTTCTTCATGGTCATTATTCCAACACAGACATTTTTCAGTACGGTGCAGGGCTACATAAACGCTCATATATAAGTTATGATGCATTTCAACATGGTATTCATGTCCACTTGGGCAACAAAACTGACTATTCGGCCTTCAGTTCAATTAAGTTCAATTCAGTTTTATTTATACAGCTCCAAATCACTACAACAGTCACCTCAATGTGCTTTATATTGTAAGGTAGGTCCTACAATAATAAATACAGAGAAAAACACAACAATCATACGATCCCAGATGATCAAGCAATTTGGTGACAGTGGGAAGGAAAAACTCCCTTTTAGCAGGAAGAAACCTCCAGCAGAACCAGGCTCAGGGAGGGGTGACGAGGGTTGCCGTGAGAAAAGGAAGACAGGATAAAAGACATGCTGTGGAAGAGAGCCAGAGATTAATAACAAGTATGATTCAGTGCAGAGAGGTCTATTAACACATAGTGAGTGAAAAGAAACGCACAGTGCATCATGGGAATCCCCCAGCAGCCTACACCTATCCGGTTGTTCAGTGATGACGTGATGAATCCTACTTCCCGGTCTAAAGTAGTCTGCGTTTAATATGGCTTTTGTGTTGTTAACATGTTTAATGTTATGTATTTTCTTCTATTTGATCTCAAAAAGCTCCTAAAACAGTCAGCGATCACTGTTGACCTCCCTCGGCTTTTATTACCGCTAATCATTTATTTAAGCTCAGTTTTTAAAACCTTAGTATGTAACTACAGCCCAGTCCATGCAGCAGTATATGAATGACTAACCTCGTATTGTGGATGGATTATCTCAGTTGTTCTCCTGGCTGAAGTTTGGTCCGTTTACAGCATCCTGCCATGCGATTACATTTGTTCCTGACCACCGAGAACACTCACGGTAACTTTTATCAAGTGTAAAAAAAGTTAGCTTGTTTATATTATGCTAACATAGCTGTGTCGCTAGCGGTCACGTAACACATCATTATATACCAGCTAGCCAAACTTCAGTAACCCTACAAACGTCACTGCTGTTTAGCTTTCTGTCTTCATTTATGTTGGAAGTGATAACAGAGCTGTACGTTTTAATTTGTTTCCAAAACCCCGCAGTCAGGACATGCTATATTGTATTTAGATAGAAGCTAGCGAGCTAACTCCCTGCTAACTTCTAACTCCGTTAAATGTCATAAATTCCGTTTTCATGGATGCCTGGATGTTAAACTCAATTGTTACACCTGGTAGAGCAGAACGCTGATCATTTTATTAAAGATGAAAGAATTTAGACAGTTTTTCAACTCTCAGTAAAGCCATAGTAATCGTTTGATATATGGACCTGCAGCGGAGTTTAGACCCAGACACGGCTAGTGACGTCAGACTGAACAACCGGATTGCAGCATAACTAAGGGAGGATTCAGGGTCACTTGATCCAGCCCTGAATCACTTTCCTTTATGATAAAGCATGTAGTTACATGCTTTATCATAAAGGAAAGTGATTCAGTGATCTGCTGCTTGGAGAAAAAGTGCAGCCCTGATCATAGCGCAGTACTGTATGTTTGTTATATTACATACTGTATGGTCCATATTTGTTTAGATCTACCACTATATATACGGTTTATAGAAATATGCATGCTCATACCTTGTAGCTGCAAATCATGAAGCTCAGTCTATCAGAACATCCAGATCAGCCAGGCAGACTGAAAATATAATCGCTACAGCTGCCAGATCCACAAAGATAAGAGCACGTACACTATATACTTCATATTTAGTTACTTTCTGTCTCCATATGGTCAGTTTCACCTCTAAATTCTATACATTTCAGATTTCAGATTAGATTTCAGAGTAAAGTGTGGCCACTGAACTAATGTGCACTTGAGTTGGTCTTTTTTCCCTTACAGGGCTGTGCGCCAGTCCAGGACCTCAGGATATCTCCTCCACCGTGCAGCAGCAGGAACCTCTCTAACCTCAGAAAAGCATCTACTCAGAGCAGCTTCCAAACCACATACTTTATCCAGACGCTGTGGCATTAGAATCAATTTCAGGAGTCAAGAGAGCGAAACCAGTGAATTCTGAGTGAACACTGTTTAGACTGTTTGTGTAAGAATGTGTTAACCACCTCATCTCCATGCACACTATGAGAAATGACCTAGGACGTCTTGTGTTTTCTCCCATTTGACTTGTGGCTAAGTTGAACTCAGATATCTACCAAGTAACCTTATAGCATGCTTTAGTGATGTGGAACAGTCCTCAGACATTTTTTTTAATTAATTCAATAAAATTTGAGACTTTACTAGTGTGTGACCTTTTATCTTAACTTAACCAGCCAATACTTGGACATTTTCTGGTGTATCTTTGCCAAATTACAAATCCTGATTCAGTTTGATGGCATGAAAGGTCAGAGAAAATTTCAGCCTCTTATCTTTTCATAGTCTTTTAGTTATTCCTGCTGAACAATAAAAAAAGACCTGAAAGCAGGTTGATGGACCATTTTTCAAAAAATATGGACAGCATTCATTATATATGTTCAATTTTTGCACCTTAAAATTGTATAAAACTTGTATAAGGCTGAGTAGAAGTAGAAGTGGATGGGAAAACCCACGGGCCTCGTGTACTGAAATATAAACACCTGTCTGTCCATCCACTTTCTCATCCAAGTCTGGTCATGGTGGCACCGTACTAAGCGAGCTACTTCAAACGCGCTTCCCAGCAGCATCTTCCCGATCGTTACAGGAGATCTCAAGATGTGCTCGAATGAGGTGAGTTAACAACTCCAAGGCGGCCTAAGAAATCTCCCGTGGGTTCCAGGGGGCACCCAGGAGGCATCCTTATTAGAAGCCTGAACTGCCTCGGTTGGCTCGTTTCTAGGGCACAGCAGCAACTCTGAGGGACTTCCAGATGTTTTCTTACTTGAGTTTCTTTCTTCTGCCTCAGACCTTGTTTCTGCACAAATGATGGCACTGAAAGTGATTTTTAAGGGTGAATGTAAAACTGATGTCCTTTAATCCTTGCGGGATGCCATCACTTGGTAATCCATGCCATCGGCTGATCAGGTAGTGTTTGTCCTCTTTTTTTTTTGCTTCCTTCTCTTTTTAAATCAGACCTTGTTGGCTCTTATCTGCACTGTTGCAGCAGAGCCTCTTTCCTTCTTTATTTTCACCATCATTTGATTATGAAAGAAACAACAATTCATGATTTGGCTTGATAGAAATCTTTTCACTATACTATAGCAGGGAACTTCCTCTGTGTTCTTAACTGAAATGGATCACACTCAAAGTCATATGTCACAAAAAAATAAATAAAGAAGCAACACAAAAGTTTGACTCCGGCTCTGTAATCATGTCAAACCTTTATTCCCTTTAATGCTGAAACTAAAGCGTGCTTTCACAAAATAACCTCACAGAAAAACCAGGCAATAACGCAGCCGTGAAGGGAGGACAAGCGTTCACAGAATCATAGAAAAAATAGTACAAACGCTAAAACACAGCAAAAGCCAAGATGAGTTACAATCCTCTGTGAAACATCTGCATGTGATACAATATCCGTCAACTAAACATAGTGCAGGTGACATGAAGTATTTACATTAAATGCAACTGTACACACGTCATGTTAGAGGAAAATAGAGATGTGGGAGGACTTAACCTGTGAGTGGACGAGCCAGCCCAGAGGAAACGAAACGGGACTCGTAACGTTTACTGAGTTTGGATATCTGATTGAACAGTGACTATAATGCTACTGCATGCTGAGCTGCCAGAGAGCCGTTAGGGAACAAGAATTCTGCACAAGAGCAGACAGATTAAAGAACTCGTCTACAAACGGCTTCAAAAAGTTAAGGTGGGCATCGGCAGTTCATTAAAATAATTAATTTCTGCTTGATTAGAAACATAAAATGAATTCTGGCCTCTTCAGCCAAGCAGTGCGAGTGAGTTTAACTTTAAGGCTCTTTATTGGCCTTTTCTTGGCGTTGGGCAGAGTTTGGGTTCATCTGATTTTGTCACATGACTTTTGTTTTCAGCCTGTCTGGATTGAGCAGTCTCCTTACACTCTGTGTGTACTTTTTCATTTTGTTACCACACAAACATTCAGCCTTGTTCCAGTCAGGAAAATTCAGTTTGTGTGCACACCTGGTAATCCACGTTTGTGTGTGTGTGTGTGTGTGTGTGTGTGTGTGTGTGTGTGAGTGTGTGTGTGTGTGCGTGTGTGTGTGAGCATATATTCACATCTTTGTGGAGACCAAAAATGGGAAGTTTACTATACTTGTGGGGACCAAAATCCTGGACCCCACAAGTTTGAAGGCATTTTTGAGACTTAAAATGTGGTTTTAGTGCCAGGGTTACAATTGGGTTATGGTTAGGGTAAGGGGCTAAGGAAAGCATTACGTTAATTAGATGTCCCCACAGATTTGAAAACCTGACGTGTGTGTGTGTGTTGTCCTCTTTGGGCAGTCGTGCTTGATATGAACATTTTAAGGCATTTCTGAAGCCAGTCCAGTGACTGACAGGATAACTGAGCTATGCCCCCGCACGGAGCTGCCAAAAAGGCCTCGGCTCTTCTTTCACAGTCTCAAGGGAATTGTTTCTGAGTGCTGAAGAGTGCATTCTTCTGCCACTCTGGGCAAAAGAAAAAAGAAACAGGGGTTAAGGGGTACAATGTGTGACTACTACAATACATTCTGCAGTGTTGAATGCTGTTGGCTCCATGTAGGCAGTGGAAGTCCAGTTAGCCAACAGCTGATGAGTGGAGGTCCAATGAGTCTGAATACCAAAAAAGACCTCAGATAGGTCCCCATGTTCATCTTCTATGGTTTTCCCTTCCAGTAAGTTTAATTTGTGGTTAACCGGACACAGGAAAACATTTACAAAATAAATAGCATACAACACAATAAACACTGCTCAAAAGATGCTCAAAGCAATGGAACAGAATAGCACACATATTTGTTTTTTGTTTTTTTTTTCAAAAAAGGCTTCTATTGGAACAGAATGGTGCTTTTTCCCCACTTTGACAGAATTCATGAAATTTTATGGTGGTGACAAAAGACCATCATAAAACTGTTTGACTGATTGTCTTTTATTAATGCAACACCAAGAATGCTCCAGTGCTAATTGTGTAAATGGGAGTTAAAGTGCTGCCGGGCAAAGAAAGGTCTACTACTACGATGTCACTCACACACAAGTTATATTTTTCTAAATGTAACAGTGAACTTTTCAAATTTCATTACAAATTAACTACTAACTGAGCCTCTTACAGCTTTAAATACTGATACAATGTTACTACTTTATATATATATTTAACACGTGGTCTAATGTGCAGAGTGTATGTTTCTATTAAATTTGATTGATAAAATGAAGAAAAAAGATTACGTTTGATTGTTTGGTGGCAAATTGGATAACATTTCATGTGCAAGTCGTTAACCCTCTCATCAGCCACAACCCAGTCGCCAATCGGAATATTTTATTTCTGTTCTTCTTAAATTGTCTTCCCAGACAATAATGATTCCAACTGATATCAAAAGCTATTTACACTGCTTCCAGAAAATCGGAATAAAGGAACAGGGTTAGGATGACCACCTGTGATGGTTTAGGTCTCAGGGGCCTTAAAACATGGGAATTAGTTATTTTTAATTTGGTAGTAATTAAAAGTGAGTTTATCCAGCGGATTTGAAAGCGCAGTTTTGGTCTAACAGCAATGAGGAATTACATTTTCAACATTTTTAATTTAATAAAATATTGTATAAACTGCAGCCAGTTAAAAATTTCAATGCAGTGTGGCATACCTAGACTGACGATGTTGTCCATGATACAAACACAGTCAAACAATGAATATCACACTTGATCACTGCATGGTGGCTGCATGTGTGCCATGGAGTTTCTTTTTATATCTCTTTATTATACAAAGGAATTCTTATCAGGATTTAAAGTCTAAGGAAGGGAAGGAAGTGCTGACTTTCATGGCTTTACAAATTAAACCATATGTAAAAATGCTGCTTTACCTGTGTAGAAGGTGATGAAACAACATTAATATGAAACTGATATTGACTTTTTTACATTTTGAGAAATAAGTGTAGATTATTTTGCTAACTCGGTTGATTCTCTTAAAAAGAAAAAATGATACTGATGATTAAATTCATGGATCAGTTCAGCTGAATTACGAGAACAAAAATATCCTCTGTCACTGCTCCTGTTCCCTCTCGTTTTTCATGCTGATATATTTAAATCTCCTCTGCTTTAGATATTTGCCACCACATGAAAGGACTAGGATGGAATTCCTCTTGCACTTCCAGGACCGCTGGGTAATCTACAGACTTGGCTGTCATCAGGTTTCTCTTAAAAATATGTTCCTTCTAAAAGGAGGTCTGCAAAATACTTGTAGTAATTTGAATATCGGATATAAAAAGACACACTGATGCTGAGTTGTATTGTCTAAACCACAACATCGGCAGACTTAGCATTTTTGCTGGGATCTGGGTAAACTTATCCATAAGTCCTTTAGGCTATAATATTGTCATTCTAGCAGTTGTATTACCTTAAAAAAAACTATCACAAAATTCTGAATAAGAGCAGATATTAGAACAAGAGTAAGAAAACAAACCTCCAAATGTGAACAGTAAAGAATTTACCACTATGATTGCTAAACTCTGGCTGACATGCACAAGAAAGCTTCAACATCTTTTATCCAATAAACCACCAAACATGTGGGAAATATTACAGTAATTATATATGAGCACAACATTTTCAAAAATGGAGTCTGAAAATCAAAATATGTGTTGATAAACTCAAGCATTCCATCAATAGACATACCAAGTTTTGTTCATGATAATAATATTTTTAATAAATGTAAATATGTTAAATGAGTATTTGAAAACACCTTGATCAATCGGCCTTTCCCGGTGGAGATTATATTCTGTTCAATTCTCTTTTTGTGTGTGTCCATCCTATTTCTGCCCCTTTGGTCATCACAACTTAAAGCATGTATATAAAGCATAAAGTATGTACAGTTGCAGTGACCCTTTGAGGACCTTACAAAGGCATGAATAAAATCAACCATCCAGACAGATTTTCACAATAAAAATAAGGCACATAGAATACATAGATCTATATTTACAGAGGGTATGGCTCCACACACACGTGCACAAATGGACAGTTTTAATAAACATCACAGTATTAAAAAGATGCCAAACCTAAGAGTCTAGTTTTTTCTTTGATAACATCCTTTTTTTTTTTTTCATTTTTTTGTCTTTCCTCACCCCTCTGATCACTCCCCCTTGCTCCTAGTTTCATCTTACATTCTGGCAGCCAAGTCGGCCAATTTTGGTAATTTGATATGATACAGTAGAATCACATCAGCGTCACTGACCACCCTGTAGCTTCTCTTATCATTCTTAATCAGAATAATTTTGTTGACTGACTTAATTCTGATGAGTTCACAGGCTGCCGTTTAAGCATATTTCATAAAAAAAGCATATTTCTTGAAAAGCCTTTTGGGACTTTTGTACAAAGGAATTTAATCACGTTATTGCATACTCTGTACTGAGGAAAAATATCCAATCAAATTAGAGTACAGTCTGACAAACCGGCCTGCTCCTTGTAAATTTAACATAAATGAAAACACATATCAATAATTTTTGCAGATTGTTGAATTAATTGTACAAAAAACTATGTGCTCCTACAACAAAACAAACAATTCACATGATGACACACGATTTAACAAAGTTTTCAGGGACATCTCTGAGGCTGAGACAGAATCAGAACGCTTCTAAACAGTTTGTGTGGGTGTTGGGCTTGTACAGTGTTAGGGGGCTATCTCAATGAATATCAGAAGAATTAAAAACACACTCTCTGACTAAGGCTTTTAGAGCTCTGCACTGCTTGGATGAGCTCTACAATTCAAAGCTTCTCAAACCGTTGAGGCTCTGAGAGTTTTCGAAACACAGGGACTGTCGAATGTTGGAGATTTCTGGAACGTGCAAAAGTCTCAGGGCACTGACTCAGGCTTCATTGAGTTTATAATCATGTTCTGTAATTCTCAGTCAGCCGGTACTTGCTACAACCTTTCTCTTGGAATGAGGCTGTCACACAACTTTAGAATACTTGGATACGTTTCAAAACATCAAATTTTGCTCTCACAAAGTTCGGGAACATTAGGAAGATATCCAACAGACTGAACAGTTGAATGCTGAAATCCAGAAATGTTAGACGTACTTCCAGAACACAAAAGGTTCAATAATGTTCAGCGGCATGTACAGAATAATGACTCATGTTCCAGTGCTGCGCTTCATGTATGAACCTTTAACAGAAGCCTTTCAGTGAAGCTGTGAACAGGATGTTAAGAAGTTTCTAGAACAATGTGAGCAGGTCTAGAACATATTCTAATGGGGGGCAGCAGAAGTGCTGAGGGCAATCTAAAACCTGGTGCAGTGGGTGCAGGTGTCAGGCATGATGATGTTCTTGCAGAAGTTGTCAGAGTGTGTGGAACAGTAACCTTTCACCTTGTCAATCATCTGGCTGACAGGAAGGATGGAGGACGAGGAGGAAGAGGAGTTGGGCTCCACTTCTGAGGAGGAACAGGATGAGGAGATGCACTTTGGATTGGTTTGTTTGGAGTAGTATTTAGCTACAGGGATGAAAAACACAGAGGGAAACCAGGGTGTTATGACCTAATTATGGATTCGTTCCAGTTATTAGAAGGAAATCTGATTACATTGATACTGTCATTCACGCTGAAAATGTCAATCAAATTAAACATGTTAGCACTTGTTATTTAGCCTTCATGTATTAGTATTACTTCTAGTTAAAAGCTTTACAAACAGGATACATTAATAAGGTATGTATTATGATCGGGTGGATCATTTGACTCATGTGATTGCTCATCACTTGTTTCTAAACATATGGTAAAACCAACCATTCGGACTGCACTGGTATCATGGTGAACCCTGTAAAATATAAAAACTATATAGACTAAAGGCAGAGGACGAAGAATGCTCTGAACACAAGGTAGAAAGAAAAGGAAGAGAAGACAAAGACCAAGAATGATAATCTGTTAATTAAATTCAAATAGATGTGGACAGACTACTTTCTGGGGAATGAAATTATAAAGAGTACAATCAGTCTCACTGCGATCACCATAATCAGCACAGAGATAGTGTTGTTATTTGGCATTGCCTAAACCCAGAACCTGACGTACACCTCACCAAGTACTTTTAAGCCTAAATCATAGCAAAGAGCAAATGAAAACAAACTGAAACCACAGACAAGCAGAGTGCAAAAACTGAACCCTCCAGCATGCTGCACTCTCCTGGTTGGCAGTATTTTGACTTTTAAAAACCACTGCTCTCTTCTTATGCAGACTTTGTTATTCAAGGGCCTAGTGAACTTTATAGTAACCAAAAGAATGAGATTATGAAAGAAGTGGCCACACCTTGGCCAAGGGTTGAGGAAATTAAGATGGAGCTAGAAAATGGAGCTGGTGCGTAGTCATGCTGACAGGAGCCAACAGTGCCGTAGAATGCTATAAAATTTGTTGAATAGGTTGAAAAATCAGGAAACGCCCAAGTGCAACAGCAAATCACTGCTGACATGAGAGTTTAAAACATTGTGCTAAAATACATAAATACCAAAAGTTATTCAAGACCTTCAAGACTTTACTGTGTCCGCTGTTTCAGCCCGCACCACATCATCCAGGGCAACACGGTGAGCACATGCAGAGAGTCCACTTAGATCTCTCTGGGCTGCACAAAGACCTGGTGCTAACTTTGATTTTGTAGTTACGTTTACATTGTACCACTTTTCATTTCATCTTCTGCCTTCAGCCTTTTGCAGTACCAAGTACTCAGCCCACAGACATTTAATACTGTACTTCTTGCAGCACTCATACGATGCAATATCAAAATGCGATCTGCAAAAACTTGGAAAGCTTGAAGAAATGTAGAAACTTGGCAGTTGTTAAAACCTTAAAATATACAAGCAGAATTCCTTAGTCCAAGAAAAAATTAAGGATTTACATAAGTACAGCATATTTTAAATCAACTTACCAAGAAAATAAAACACAGCAGTGGGAGTGAGGTCAAAATGTCCAGGAGAAACACAACATATTTTTCTACAGTCATGTGCAATAATATCTGACCCTACCTGTGAAAACGATCCATGTACCACACTCATGATTGCCCTGAGCCAAAAGTATCTACATTCAGCATGATATTTGTGAAAACAATATCTCTTATTTGTCTTTAGACTGTTTTGGAACTCATAAAATGACATAAAATATGTTAAGTCAAACATGTTCTTGCTCAGACGTGACAGTTACATGAAAGTTGTTCATGGTCTAATTTAAACACTGCTCAGAACAGCTGAAGGTTGTCCTACACAGAGTGACAAGGAGGACTGCAAGAGTGAGGCATAATAGGTCTACGGTACAAAGATGGTGATATGAACACTGGCCAGACTTAAGCCAGGACCAACTCTGTTTATTCAACAGGAACTGAAAGAAATGCCAGAGTACAGCTCCCTCGTAGAACACATAGGTAGTGCCAACCACTACATAACCTGAGATCTTTGCTGCTTTATTTAACCATGAGTGAAATTCTCAAGATTAACAATCTTTTCTGTGCTTCTCTCAGCAGAGTTTATCACAAGTCTGGATGGGAAAACACAGTCAATAAGTTCTGATCATCTCACGGTGCTATGATGAACTCGACTTAGAGCAGATTATTTACCTGTCTTGCCAAATGTCGTCTGGTTTTTGTCTGGTTTTCTGTTTTGTTTTTCTCCATCTTTCTTTTCTTATTTGCTCAAAAACCTGCTTTTTCAAGGATTTTATGAGCCAGCAGAAAATATAACCGGGATACTCTGGGTCGTATCACATGGGGTCGAAATTTCATGTTGCACTCGATGCTGAGATCGTAACTCAAAATGTGTAGAAAGGGAACGGTGACAGTATGCGGTATATAATTTTGACCTAACCGCTGTTATCATGGTTTTAGCTGAAGATGTGTTTAAATCATAGGTGATGGGACTCATATAAAAAGATGTGCTGTACATTACACACGTCGTCTTCACCTTTTTTCACTCACTGCTTTATGTGTTTACACAACATATGTTGTTTAATTATTAGTTATTATTCATCTTATTCATCTTCCACAGGGTGTCTCTGTCTTCCTCACCTGCCACCAATCGTGGCGGATAACTTGGCTCTGCTAGAGGTTTTATTCCTGTTAAAAGAGAGTTCTTCCTTACCACTATTCCCAAGTGGTTGCTTATACAAGGTCATCAAAACTGCATAATTTGGATATGTGCTTGGATATAATTTGTGGCCTCTCTGTGCTCCGGTTTTCTCCCTTATCTTTCTCTTCAGGCTCCAGATCAGTCGCAGCAGATGGTTGCCCAATTCTGGTTCTGCCAGAGGCCTTTTCCAGTTTAATGGGGGTTATTCCTCCCCACCACTATGTCCTTGCTCACAGGAGATCGTCTGATTGTTATGGTTCTTTTGCTAACATTGTAGGGTCTTTACTTCCATAATATAAAGCACTTTGAAACTAGAGCAATATAAATAAAACTGAATCAAAGGTTTCCCAAACATAACAAGCTGAGAAGAGTCGTTGGGGTTGACCCTCACTGGAGGGATTTCAAATCTTGTCTGACCTGAGACTGTCTCAAGATCCTCCAGGGGGAAAATTGGAGGAAACAATGCTGGGGACAACAACGACTGGAATGTACTTCTAAGTCTGCTACCAGATAATCTACTGACTCCGAACATGATGAACGATCAAAGAAAATGGGCACAAGAGGAAAAATGAAATATGAAAGTGTTAATATGCTTTGTCCGTGACCCTGAATTTAAGAACCAACCCTCTTATAACCTAACATACAGCTACCAGCAACAATGCAAGCTCCAGAAAGTTCACAAGTCCCAAATGTTGATGGGATTTTGTGAACTGCATGTTTGTTTTAGGTTAGAATTAGGGCTAACCGGGGAGCAAGTTAAACATCAAAATTAGACCGAGAAGAATAGAAGTCCAAACACTAGTGTCAATGCTCTTAATGTGAGAATGTCTGGAAAATGTTCATTCAGTTACACAAAGTGTCTTCATCAAACCTTCAGGGGTTTCCTTTTGTTCCTCATTCAGTCCAGGAAGACTTCTTAGAAGTTAACGATGCTCTGGGGCTCTTTACAGGTGTGGCAGTTTGAGACAATAATTTTGTCTACTTGTTAAAAATGTCATCCTGAATTCTGGATTTATGGTATAGATATACCAGCAGTCTTCACAGTTTCACATTTTATGGAACATTCTTGTGGACAATGGGCCAAAGCAATCGACTTAAATGTATGCTCTTTGAGCCAAATCAAACACATGCATATGTCTGTGCGCTGACCTCCTGGTCTGATATTGTAAAGCAGGGAATATTTGAGATTGCATCTAAATCACGCTGTTCAAACAAAGAAGCTCCTTCTCTATCGCTGCCTGATTAAACAAAGCATGGATTGATTGATTGTGTTGTCTTACTACACATTCAGCGATTATTCCCAACATCTCTTCCAACTGTTGTCCCTTTGCAACACAAAAAGCTTCAAGGTCAAGCAATGATTTCCTGCTGGCGTGGACTGCAGTCACGACTTCCTTTCACTGTGCATTATGACAGCACTGATTATGCCGCTGGCCTCACGCGGTCATGTTGCAGCTGGTCCTATTCATTCATTTTGACTTTTAAAATGCCCCATGATGTCACACTGAGATGTTTTGTTTTCTTTCTGCATCTCCTCTGACACATGGACAACATTTTTACGGGGAATACTGTTTTATTTTTTTTTTAATCCCTCAATTGTACACCAGAGTACACTTTGAGACAGAGACAGAAACTGTGAGGGGTGTTAGAGCTGAGCTGGTGTCATAGAAAAGGCGTTTGGGAATAGCAGGTCGGTCCCTGGTCATGATCTGCCTGCTCTGTGATGGAGAGATGCTCCGACCTCAAACATCTGGAAATGATACAAGGATAGATTGACACTGTGAAGACGCTGAGGAACTGTGAAGCAACCTCGTAGGAAACACAAAGAGAGAATTCCTCCTTCAGCGCAGATGACTTAATAACACGCTGTCCATTTCCACCGCAGGCCACGATCTGAATGAGAATGCTTACCACCCTCCTCTAAGGTACAAATAAAAATGCATTTTCTTCAGTACATGCTTTTATGTTAGAGTAAAGCAATTAGACAAACAAGTCTGTTTGCGCAGGCCTAAAGCATTCCACACAATAAAGCTGCGCTGATGAATGTTATGTGAAACACAGATGATCTGATAGTATCACATGTTAAAGTTTACACTTATGCAGTCGAACCCACACAGATTTTATCGTCCGATCTTTCCCGCAGCACGAGGTCGCAGCAGGCTGTTAAGTTTAAATGTCGCTCCAGGTCACGTGTAAAGGCAAAAGTCCTGTGTGTGGCTGTTGTAGCACAGTTCACCCCCTGCTTCTGCTGCCTCCAAGTGGCAACGCAAACAAATAAAAAAGCTAATGCAGCTCATCATGTAGCACTGTGGACGCAGCTTTTTGTCTTTAAAGACTTTTAAATAATCCACAGGGAGAATGTATGTATGCAAGCTTTGACTCAAACCAGGAGAG